TTATATCTTGTATGGAAAAGTATTTCAAACTGGTAAGTGTGAAGTTGGGATTGCTGAATGTAATTTCAGCCTGAGGCGTGTATAACAACTTTGAAATACATGTTTAGAATGGCAGACTTTTAAAGTTATGTGCTCTGGATGTAAGTGATGATTCTGTTCTGCATGAGAAATCAAGAACTGCAGCCCTACATACTTTCATTGGTCAAGTTCTCTCTGAGGCTGGACTTTGCCTAGCTCAGCAGTCACATGCGGGCTGAACTTTTAAGGCACAGCCACCCCTCCTACTTGGAAAAAACATGGCCCAATAAGATGAACAGCTTTCCTTCTCTTGTAAGGGGCAGCTAGTAAGGAGTCTAGAAAAGGAGAAGAACATGGGAAAAGGAGCCAGAGTGTTTTAATATGTGGTTTCATGTGTTCCCTGACCACTCCCCAACTGGGGCTGTTCAAAGATGCCGTCTTCATCCTTAGCTTCCAGTCCTTTCTTTGGAGTGACAATCTTACTTGCTTAGTTCACAATGATGTAACCTTTCTGTAGTACATATCTCTAACCTACAATTTAGCTGTCGCTTCAGTGCATACACAGTGTATATACATGACTCCACAATTATCTGAGTTTTCTCCTTTGTTCTGTTACTCATGAAGTCCTACTGGTTTTGCATCCTAACACCTTTGGTTTTGTCTCCTCTTCTCCATCTCTATTGTATTAAGTCAGGTACCTTTGTTCTCACCTGGATTATGACTGGTAAATTTTATAACTGGAATTCTAGCTTCTGGCCTGAATGATGATGATGATGGTGGCAACAACAGCAATAATGATCATGACTATCACTACTGATCACCATTGAGTTCTTACTTTATAGTAAAAATTTCATCACTGCTTTTTATGATTATGTCATGTAATCATTCTAATAACTCTATGAAGTCTGGGCAATATTATTATCATTGGTTTAAAGCTAAGAAAACTGAAGTTCGAGTGGTTAAGCGTCTTGCTTGTCAAGGGGAAGAACTGTGATTTGCACCCAGACTTCTTAGAGGGAAAGCCTTGGTAGTCATTGTTCCTCCTTTTGGAGCCTCTTTGCATAATTGTCTCTTCCTTATCATATATATCTCAGTTCAACACTACCTTTTCGGAAAGATCTTGCCTCACCAAGCCCTCACCAGTCACTCTCCATTGCATCACTATTTAATTCCTTCACAGCCTTGACAACCCTCTGAAACCATTTTTGTTTGCTAGAATATAAGCTACATAATAGCAAAGATACTGTCTGTCTTGTTCATTACTGTACCTCAGGCACCCAGGCCAATGATGGCATAGTAGGCCCTTAGGCAGTGTTTGTTGAGTAAATGAATGACTCATTCTCTTAATTATTACATGATATTTCCTCCAGTCAGTTCTCCACATCGCTACCAAATCCACCCGTGTCGCTTTCCTGCTTAGAGTTCTTCATTGGCACCTCCATTACCTACAACAGGAAACTGAAACTCCTCAGTATCACATGTAAGTGATGCTTAGTCTCATCTGTCACTCACCTCCAACGACTGAACTATATAGCATTATATATGTATTATGTATTTTATATTATACTAGTGTATACTATATACTGTTATATATAACAAAAACACACAGAATATAATAAATAACATAGAATATACTACATATTCTCTCATGTCACATTCTTTCATGGACCCACACTTATGCAAGTGCTTGTCCTTGTCTTGGACTTTCTTTTCCTCCACTGTACCCTTGTTATCTTTCAGATCTCTGCTTAAAGATACCCTCTCTGTGAACTTTTCTATGAATTCCACAGGCTGACATGGGGTTCCTTTTTCTGTGTTTCATTGGGCTTTCCTTTCACCCTCATTTTGGCAATTGTTGTATAACACTGTGATCTTCCATTCGCATGTCTCTCTCTGCACATCTGTAAGCTTCACCAGCACAAGGAATGTATCTTTGAATCTTTTTATTCCCAGTCGCTAGACAGCATGTAGACTATAGTGAATGCTCAATTAATGTTTGTTGAATAAATGAATGAATTCCTTAGCCTGTCCTTTGGAACATGTCTTTTCTGCCTACTGACAAATCTTACCCCTATTCATTCACTCCCCTTCCCAAGTCAGATCTCTCTCTCTCTTGCTGCTGGCTTCCTTTCATCTGCTTTCAGATACTTTCTTTCCTACATTTTCTTAGCGTGCTGGATCTCTATCATACTCTTCTTTATGTGATGGCATGTAGTTATTTCATTGACTCATAGAAATTCAGTTGTACAGTGGCCCTAGTCCAGTTACACCAAACATCAATTCTGATGTTTCCCTAAGATCCTGAAAGAGTAGTCATCTGGTTTCTGTTTGATAACTTCTGGTGATTAATTGCTTACTGCTTTCTGAGGCAAACCATTGCATTTTTGAAACGGTGTGATTTTAAGAAAAATATTAAAAATCCACCTTACTGTAACTTTTCCCCGTAGTTTCAGATTCTACATTCTGGGAACACACACATGCACACCCACACACACATTTTTATCTCTTCTGTTTATCAGTCCTTCAAATTTACAAAAATTCTTGAGTTCCCTCAGGTCGCTTCTTCGTTGTGATGAAAATGCTGATCTCCCCAAACTGTCCTTTTATGGCTTCAAGATTTCTCACCTCCTAGTTGCTCCAGTTTCTTAATACCCTTCTAACGTGGGGCTTTTCAAGCTGAACACAGGGGTACAAGTATGACCTGACCAGAATTAACTAGAACGGAGCCTTTATCTCCCTCGTTTTAGAAATTGTATTGTTGATATGACCTGGGTGTAATAGCTTTTTTTATAGTTGCTTATACTTTTGACTTGTATTGAGCTTGCAGCCAATTAAATCTATATGTCTTTCCCTCTCCAAAAATAGTGCAGCCTGAATGTGGCCTTTACTCTTGTCTTTATTACGTATCATATTGTTAAGTCCAATCCACTGGAATAGCCCATCAAGATATTTTGTATCACATTTAGTTATCTAGTAAAATTCCCCATCAAAATCATATCATATGAAAATTTGATCACACTCTTAAGATAATCAGAAAAACCAATAACAAAAATGTTGATCAGGGCAAAGCTGAGAATACACCATTTATTAGAAAGGTTTATCCAGGTGGGTGTCAAAGCCAAGCGCTTTGGGGGCACGGTGGAAAACTAACTAGCATCCAATCCAGAGTTTCCTCCTGGGGATGTCATGAGATACCACCTGTATTACTGAAGTTCAGATAAATTGTGTCTATGCAGCTCTAGTTTTCTTGAGGGCAGGGACCATGTCTGTCTGGCCAACTGCTGTCTTCCCATCATCTGGCACTCATGTGGTGCTGAGCCTGGTACAGAGCAAGCCTTCAGTACAGTTTTGTTGAGTAAGTAAATGGAATAAACAAGGAACAAAGGTTCTTCTGGCTTAAGTTTTAAAAATGAATCTTTGCTCTCTCATCTCTTCCTCTTTTTAATGAATTGTAAACTATTTTTTCCTTTTCTTGGCTTTTGTAACACTATTCCTTCCTTATACTTGAAGTTCGGTCTTTATTTTCTGTCGTCTCTTCTGAGGAGAACTAAGCTGCTTTCATTTGTGTTGGGGTGGTGGAAGATGCAAAGAGCAGAGAGAAGACTTGAAGGATCAGTGGGTTTAAAGGATCAGTACAAGAAATGAAGTTTCTCTATCAGTGCAAATCTTATTTTAGATTAAAGCTTAAACCTAAGACACTTCCTTTATGAAGCCATCCCTGATAACCTTCACGACAGTGATTTACTCTTCTTTACTTAACTCAAGAACTTTCAAGTCTGTACCACACAATCCAACATTCCAATTACACTGTGATCTCGTCTTATCATTCAGTTTCATGACCAAAATATAATAACACTTACAATAATAATAATTATTATTATAGTTGTAATGATTATTATTATTTATTGAGCTGTATGTAATTATAGACAAGATGCTAAGCACTTTGCATACATTATCTTATTTAAATCTCCCACCACTATTTGATGTAGGTTCTTCTGTTTCATATTTTACAAATAAGAAAATGGAGGCTTAGAAAGAGATGTATATCTTGCTCCATAAGTAGTTTGTAAATTCTTAGAGACGATTTGTTTTTAAAAAATTACATCATAGCTTTTTAACAGTTTAGAGAGAGTCCTTTGGAACAACCGAAATAGGAGCTCAAATTTTGGCTCCTTCGTTTACAAGTTTTATGAGCTTGGTCAAGTTAATAAAGCTCTCTGAGTCTTAGTTTTGTTATCCATAAAAGTGCAAATAAGAATGTCTAATTCACAAGATTTGTTGCAGAAATTACATGAAGTATCATATATAATGCATTTAACATGGTCTGGCATATTAAGCATGTGCTCAGTACTTGGTAGTTAATATTGCTTAAATGTTACACAGTGTTGCAGATGGTAAGATGCCATGAGTTGCCCCAAATATATAATATATTTTATATTATAATAACAAGTTGCCCCAAAATAATAATATAAAAATAAGTAATAATAAAATAATACAAGGGCATTGTTGGGTGGTATTAAATATCTTTTATCTGAATAAAGGCAGGTCATAAAGGATGTACTACTATACATTATTGAAATAACTGGAATTGCACTACATAGCCAATATGAAAGTTGAAATCTTATATTCCATTGCCAATCCTTTCTCTTGTTCTAGATGAGTAGATTGGTAGCCCTTAAAATATATTGCTTTTAAGAAAGTATATCAACTAGTATTTGTTTCACGTCACATTGCAGAAATGAATAGTGATGATGTCAACTTCAGTGAAAATCAGAAAGATGTTGCTGTCCTGATATATGAAACGTTAGCTTATATTGTGAGTTATTTTCAAATAGTTTCCCTTACTATTGCATTGCACCTAAAGTCAATGAATATTCAAAAGTAACTTAGAATAGGTAAGAATCCTGCACTTGCGTTAGGTTCTTCTTTTTCATACTTTTACTAACATAACCACAACCATTGCCTTTTTCTTTTCCTTTCAGAGAACAGAGAAAATGACGATGACAAGAAAGTGGTTGCGGAGATCATGGCAAGATGTTTTGCTCCAACTTTAATAACCACCACTTCCTGGGAGGGGTTTCATTTTGTCGGTCATGAGATTCGGATTACGGAAGCCGTGGATTGTTACGGTGCTGTTGTTTGGCCATCGGTATAATTTCATACAAAATTTTCTACATTTCAATGATTTTTCAGCCAATATTGCTTATTATTATGTACTATTTGGAAGAAGAAAATAAGTTCCACAGTTCTATTTTGTGACCTCAAACAACACTAAGATTTAGAAATCATGAAATTGGGAAAATACTTCCACCAATTAATTCTATTTCTGACCTGTAGGGTTAGTAAAGAGTATTGTTTATACCTTCAGGTTTTTGTGACTCTAAGAGTTTAGATTAGTAAACATTTTTATTTCCCATTTAACTGACTCCATTTGAGTTAAAGAGTTAGAACGAAATCTGTACCAGTCTCAACACACAGAATATGAAAGCCCACTACTCCTTTACAATTGTCCCACAAAGGGTGTAGACCCCCCACCACAATCAGCCCCAATTCCACATACATCTTTGAAATAACTATTATTATTAACTTGCTTTCTTTAAAGATAATCAAATCTAAGCAACTGAACTCCATATTTTTAGTTATGTTTTCTTCCCAACAAGCCCCAGGGACCTTTTCTAGCTTAGATGTTGAACCTGACAGAGGATGTATTTCTGTTGATAATTTTCTGTAGTGATCTGTATGTATACACACGTATCCTCACAGGTGCACACACACGTCATAACATTAGTGAGATATTTATCTAATAGAGTTTAATTTTACTTTCTGTTATTATTTGCCAAGCACCACTTTCTCCTTTTTTTAAACTTTCATAGGCTCTTGTTCTATGCTATTTTCTGGAAATGAATGTAAAACAGTATAATATGGTTGACAAAAATGTGATTGAAATTGGAGCTGGAACAGGGCTGGTCTCCATTGTGGCAAGTTTACTCGGTAAGTAGGTATTTTTGATTGAATGGGGTCAGATAATTTAATATCAAATATCATTAGCTGTTTTACTATCCTGTTTACTATGACCTGGGCCTATTTTTAATTCCTTAATTGTTTGACTGGGCTTCACTAAGAAACTTTACCAATTTTTAAGTCATCTTACTGGTTTCTTTCAGAATTTTCTGTGAAGATGTATTAATTCTCCTCCTGGAGTGCTAAGTCGCAGTGTGTTCTAATTGGAGGTGCATTTAAGCGTCCTGGCTGTTAGAGGAGGTGTGTGAAATACTAGGCATAGGCAGAATCTACTGCTGCTGACTCTGATGTTCTTTATTTAAAATTTAGCCCTATTGTAATGTTCTCAAGTAGCTGTATGTTCCTTTTGGGTTTTGAAGTCTTATGCTTTTATGAAAAAGCACTGTTAGACTAGAGAAGGAGTATTAGAAATCATATCGAAGCCACATCTGCTTCTAATTTTAGGTGTTCACCCTTGAATTTATTTTTTTCAGTTCATTTCTTTTCTTCTTTTATGATCCCTTGTTCTCTCAGTAGCATCTTCTTTTCCAACTAAATGTGTGATGGTCTCCATGTATGCCTGAGCCTGCTCCAGTTCAGTCTTTTTGTTGTTGTTATGTATTTCATTCATTTAATTTAGCTGCCTTCTCCGATGTGCTACCCAAATCTGTCTTGATTTCCTTGGTCTTCAGAAGTCCACACCTGCCACTCTAAAATCTTGAGAGGAATGCAAGACTTAGCAATTTATAACTTTCTAAAAACTGGAGAAATACGACCCTTAAAATCCTTCCCACATATTTTTTAAAGAAATTGCTCTGTCCTGATATTGGTTTCCAAAGTCACCGTTCCGCTTAGTCTGGAGACAGTCAGGCACTATTGGTTTATACCTGAAGGCTTCCTGGTCTAGGAGCAGAGTTTGTGTTTTGGGAAATTATTTGTTTCATTAAAAAGAATTAATCCTTTTGATTTGCTTGTATAACTTGAAACAAATATCAAAAGATGGGAGCTTTGTTTAGTCAGTATTCTAAAAGTGATGGTGTTTACCTCTCTAGACGCAAAGATGTTACTAGTCAGATAGTTTATATTCACTATGGCCATGTAGGTATTCTTTGTCTTGGGATTTTAGAAAGATTTGTTGAAAATGATAAGACACCCACACTAAAAGAGGAAGGTTCATATTTCTGTGATTCTACCAATGATATGCATATTTCCCTCTCATTTTAATGTTTTCCACTAAGTACAATCCATGGCCAGAGAAACTTGCCATTGTGGTTAAGGAACGGGCTCTAAACTCGTCTGGGCTGGTCTCTTCCGGTTCTGCTTTCCCATTCCTTACCCAAGTCTGTCTTTGTCTGATGATGTGGAATTGGCCAATCCTAGATTTATTTACATATTATCTTCAGGCTCTGCTGCTGCTCAAAATTCACTTTAAGGGACAAATTTTACTGGTTATTGGGTACTACAATTTTGCTCCTTCCAATTTCTTCCTGAAAATGACCATCACTATTCACTTTTAATTCAGAAATTATTTATATCTTTGTCTGAGCATTCTATCCTGCATCTATGAACTTTGGCTGGATGAGCACTATATACATGTTGTGGCTAGGTTTTAAACAGCTTTTGATGGGAAGATTTACGCTATTATAATGGAGTCAAACTGAAAACTTGGGCATAAACATGGATGTCATGTTACTTCCAATGTAATGCCATTGAAAATGTTTTTTTTCTCCCTCAACTTCTCACGTTTGAGCACTTCCTGTATGATGATAAGATGCCCAGGGTGTTATATACACTCATTTTGTCTCACATGACTTGGGCTCAGAATTCTTTTAGGGAAGAACCTGTTCATCTTTCAATCCTGACTTCTGATTGTCCCAACGAGGGTACCAAATATTTTGAATTTCCCTTTCTCTTGATTATTTTTCTCCTAGCATATAGTAGGTAAATAGAAGATAACAATAGCAACAATAACAAAACAAAAAACCAGTAGAACAGAAAAATGCAATGGTGTGCAAAAGTGCCATGGGAATCTAATTATTTTTAAGGGGCAGCATAAAGCTGCCTTAGCATCCATTTTGAAAGGGATTTCCGTCCTGTGTGTACTGACCGGTCTTTTCCTTAGGGCTAGCAATTGTGCAGAATTGCAAATGCATATTGGCTTGAAACCTAATTGCTTTACTTTATCCCATGAGGGTTACTTTTCCTACTGTCCTTTGTTTCACAGGTGCACATGTGACTGCCACAGATTTACCTGAATTACTTGGAAACCTGCAATATAATATTTCCCGAAACACCAAAATGAAATGCAAGCATTTGCCTCAGGTTAAAGAACTCTCCTGGGGTGTAGCTTTAGACAAGAACTTCCCCAGGTCTTCCAACAATTTTGACTATATCCTGGCAGCTGACGTTGTCTATGCTCATCCTTTCCTGGAGGAACTCCTCATTACCTTTGACCATCTGTGCAAAGAAACTACCATCATATTCTGGGTCATGAAATTCAGGTTGGAGAAAGAAAATAAATTTGTAGATAGATTTAAGGAGTTGTTTGATCTAGAGGAGATTTCTAGTTTCCCTAGTCTGAATATTAAGTTGTATAAAGCTATGAAGAAAAACCCGAGGAGCGCAGGATATCCTCAAAGCAGGGCCTGGAAGGCTAAGGCAATTTCTAGTAGATTATTACTTTAAGAAAGACCCTGGATAATCTGACATAGCCCTGACTTTCCCAAGGGGAGACACACTCACCACCCCCACCCCTCACACACACATTTGCCACACCCTAGACAGGGATTTTCCCAGATATAGCACATGGGTCTAGAGGATGACACAGCCATGCTATGTGGTCATTGGTTAGGACAGTGTCCTTATATTTTCCTTATCCCTCTATAGCACCATTTATTATTATGATCATTTAAATAAAGGGTATGATTATTGTTATTTTTAATGTATAACTGTAAAATGGTGGTTTTTAATAATGATATCTCTAAAATGAACATTCTTATTGTTTATAACACTAGCTTATATGATTCTCTCCTTAGAAATAAAGAAATGGGCAATAGTGAGATCTACAAATAAATCTGAAAGGGCAGATACATAATGTAATGATAAATGTTAGATGATTGTGGTCATTGTTAGTGCCAGCTTGTAGGTGGTCTGTCATCTCTGCTTGGCAGGGTGGGCCTCCAGCACAGCCTCTGAAATCAATCAAGCTTGTGGATTTGAGGTTATAGGCAAGGACGTTCACTCTAGTAAATGAAAAATGAGTGGAAGCAAGCATAAAAATAGTTGAGATTTTGGAGGAGTTATTGTTTTATTTGTAAGCCAAGTACAGTTATTCTATATCACAGAAACAGAAATAAACATAAAAAATTTGGGTTGAAAACACACATGAAAAGATTTAGGCTTCTAATCTCAAATAACCAGACATATGACTGGTTTTAAAGTTTAAAGCTTTTATGATGCCTATTTAGAGCTAGATATTTGAAATCCTATGTGATTTTTTCACATGGGCCTTAGAGATTAGAATAAAGTCTGAAGTAATTAAAGTGAGTGCGAGGAGAGAAAAAAATTATAATTTTGTACCATGTAACAAGACTGTTTTGGTTGGTCACTGCTCTTCAGTGTCCCCAGTGATGTTTGTTAGGCTGTTACTGTGCCCTCAGGCTGATGCTTGCTCTGTTAAGCCCAGCTCTTTCTGCTTTGCTGGAGTTTCTCAGTCTATTCAGGGTTGAGCAGAGCTGAAAAGATTATTTCCTAGGGCCCTGACCTGTAAGCCAGGATGCAAGTATGCATCTCCTGGATTTTTTGCCACGTGTGGTTCATAGGACCATCTCTCAATAATTCCCAATATTCACTCGGCCCTTTATGGTTCTCACAGCCTGATAGGCAGGTAAAGTCATTTAATCGTCACAACCATTCTAAGAAGTCTAAGTAATATCGTTATCCCTACTTCACAAATAAGCTGAGGTGGAGAGGGGTGGAGTGAGTTGCCTCAGGCCATGCAGCTGCGGACTGGCAGCCCTGGGGCAGCCGGGTCCAGGTCTGTGAATCCAGAGCCTGTTCCTTCCCACTGTAGAGCCTTCATGTATTTAAAACAGTAATTTCCAAACTCGTTCTTAGACGAGTGAAGTCATTTCTTCAAAATGAAATCTATACCCAGAAAGATAAGCAAATACATTAGGAAAAGAGGAGAAATGTCTCCCCTTTAAATCTTCTTCTCTTATTTCCTGCCTTAACTGGGGGGTCAGGGTAGGCTCCTTTAGAAGGTGACATTGAAGCAAAGCTGGAAAGAGGTGAGGGAAGGAGCAGTGCAGATATCTGGGCAAGTGTGTTCCAGGCAGAAGGCACAGCCCTGCAAGGACGTTCAGGCAGGAGTCTGCCAGTCCTCTGGAAGAAACATCAAAGCCAGTGTGCTTGGAGCCAGGAGGAGCAGGGGAGACTGGTCGGATGTGGCGTCAGAGAGGCTGGAGCAGGACTAGATTGTGTCAGACCATGGTGCAGGCTGGGTTCTCTGGAAGCAGACTCTGAGGTGGAATTTGGTGTGCAGGTCATTTGTTAGTGAGTGCCATTGGGATTAAGACCTGTGGAAAGGAGTAGGACAGAAGTAGACGTCAAGGTGCAATGCAGGCCCAACTGCGGCCTCAGCTGACTCCATCACCCCCCCCCCCCCCCCCGCCCCATGGAGCGCTGGACCTAGAGTGGCCTTTCAGAGTCACCCTGGCTTGGGGCTAGATGTCTGGGCCTTGATAACCCCATGACACTCAGTCGCTGGCCCTGGGAAGGCTCTGTGACCTTGGGTGAGGTGACTGTCTTTTGGCTGAGGCAACCCCTGAAATGTTGACAGCTCAGGGCCATGTGACAGCAGCACTCCTAGCCGCCAGGTATCAAGTCATTCTGAAGGGAATCTGGGCAGCAAATCGCAGTGTCCCCCACAACCTTTAAGGCCATTGAAAGAACTTTGGCTTTTCCTCCGGTGAAATGGAGAATCACTGGATGGTTTGAAGGAGAGGAGTGAAATAATATCACTTCATGTAAGGACCACTCCGGCTAATGTTTTGAGAATACCATGAAGGGGCAAAAGGAGCAGTTGGGAGGCTGTGGCAGCCATCCAGGCAAGAGAGGATGGCAGCCTGTAGAGGGGAACGTACCCTGGAGGTGGGGGAAGTGGTTATTTCTAGACGTGTTTGGAAGCGACAGCCAACAGACCTTCCTGCCATATTGAACATGAGTGTGAGGGAAGGCCGACTCTGAAGTGTTTGTTCTGAGCTACTGGACGTGAAGTTAGAGCCCTCAGCTTAGCGATGGTTTGTAAAGCTCATTCACGGAGCAAGAGTGAATACACAGAGAATAAAATAAGGACTGAGCCCTGAGGCTGGCCAACATGAGGAGATTTTTTCTGAGCCCCCTCGCAAAGTTGTATCTGTTGACTCTGAAAGATATGAATTTACTGCCCCAGTGGTCAGTAGAGTTCCAAGTTCTCTCAAAGCTGCCTCAGAGGCTCCTAAGAGTGTTTTAGGTACAGCAGCAGGAATCTTGAGTTAACAAGTGGAAAAAGAGGAGTCTTCTGCTGAAAAACGTTTGAATACCACTACTAAGTTATTTGTAGGTAGAATAGATAAAGTGTCCTTCTTTTAAGACAGTGTGAGGACCAAACCAGCCATCCGGTTCCTAATGGTTCCCCTGCCTTTAGGTATCAGTCTTCAAACACAATGTTCAATAGCCATTGTCTTAGTCTTTTCATAGCACTCACTTGCAGGTTTTAGCCCCTCCAACACATGCCTCTCCTGCCTCACTTCATTCTGTGTACTTGTCTACTACGATCTTTTGCTGCAGTTTCTTCACACCTTTCAATTCAATTCAATTCTATGATAATTTAATTTCAAAAGATATAATTTGAGTAGACTTTTTCTATCTTACAATTTTTCTTTTATGTCTAGGAATTGATTTGTTAACTTTAATCCAAGGGCATTATACTGTCTTTATAAAGCCCTTACCTGGCTTTTTTTTGGACAAGTTAAACTATCTTACTGAAAATCTCAGTCCAATTCTTGCAGTGATGTTCCAGGTTTCTGATAGAATAAATGTACTGATTGTCAAGGTTTGACTAGAAGTGATCACAGAATAGTTATTGCTCTGTAGTAGACACACCAACTTGCTAGTGGTAACTCTGCAGCTTAAGAGTTATATGTGACGTACATATAGCCACAAGAGTTTTTGTGCCTCAGACCTTTTCAACTGCCATTAGGAGACTAAGTACTGCACCAAATCTCCTGTCTTAGCACTTGCTGATCTATCCTAGTTCATTGGTAACAATTTTTGTACACTAGAATTTAAAAAAATTGGTCTTCATTCCATATTTATATCCCGTTCTCTTTTTTGGATAAAGAACTGTCGTATTGCGTAACTTCCTAACAGGTTTGGAGCCAGTGGTGTCAACTCATTATTGTGGAAGAAAAAAATGAGGAAACATAACAGGATGGAATGTTCCTTTTTTTCCTCTAACTCCTCAGATCCCAGGAGCTTGGTGTTCTCTGTGAATGCCTGGTCTGTATAGACGGAGACCATGTCCCACTTGTTTTAAGCAGTGCCATTGGCGTGTAAGCAAATAAATAATTTCTGAATATCCTTTCAAAGTAAAATGTGTCCACTGGGTATGATTTTAAGACAGGAAAAGATATGCATTTACAAATTTTGAAAAGAAGCTGGGGACCCTGGGTTCTAGACATAAAAGAATTAAAGTCAACTTTAAGGAAATCAGATAAGTAAGTCTATTGATAAGCTTAGAGGAAAATTAATATATTGTGCCTCTTCTTTCAACTCCGTTTTAACTTAGTTTTCATAGAAATCTGTATGTGGAGGAAGTAAAAATTGTCAAATATCTGCATTTTTTTCACGAAATTATAAGGCAATAGTAAGAAACAAAATTGGGAAAAAAGCAGGCAAATATTTTCACAAAATGTCGGGGGTTATGGGCAAAGCAAAGTTTTAAAACCATAGACACTCGTGAGTGTGTTTGTTTGTGGACCCAGTTCTTTATATCTTCTTTATGAAGCCTGGAGATAGTTCACAGATGATTTCCACATACAAGTTTTGGCAGTTTTGAGTTTGTGGTATGAAATTCAGTCTAGAATATTGCCTGCAAGCTCAACTTCAATATTTGCTCTGCTTCCTGCTTCCACATGAAATCATAGACAGTATATAATTCTAACCTCTATAATTATGTGGTCGTATTAATGGGACAGTTGTGTCTTAGGTGGCCTTGCTTAGCAGCAATTAGTTCTATGGTCATATTAACTCCTTTTATTAAGAGTTCTGGGCTGGATATTAGCATTTCCTCTGACTGTGTGTAGCTGCGTAGTATTCAGATTGCTGGGCCCTCACCACCGATGGCCTATTCTGTTGAACTAACCTTTAGCTGCTATCATGAACAGCGTTTTCACTGGGAAAGTTCAAAAGTAGGGGTTTTTCCTCTCAATTCTCTCAATTTCTTTGTTTCTAAGGCAATTGTCTTTCCCTGAAATCTAATCAGGTTTCAGAATTGGCACTCAACCATCAAGGAATTTAAAAGCATCAGTAAAAATGAAAACAGATGTCCAGGTCAATTTTGTGATAAATAGCATTAATAGAAAAAAAAGAAGAATATTGGATATATGCTGCCAACCACTAACACTTTATCATACCAAAAAATATTGCTTGGTTTTCTAAACAAAAGCACAAGCTGAATAAGATTAAAACAGGGCATTTAAAAAATATTTTAATAGTTAGGTGTTATTTCATAATGCCACAAATATAGGACACAGGCTTCCGAAAATTAGTTATTTGGTAAATGCTAGATTTTGTAGTTTAGGTTTTGAGAACTCCAATATTTTCATTGTCCACAGTCTATGCAGCTCTACTCTTCTTTGTTGTAATTTTAAATTATAAATCAGCTCCTTACCCTCACTGGATT